AGCAGCAGCAGCTCCGCCGCGCACCCCCTGCGCCGCCGAGCAGCACTTACATGCGGGCCAGGTCTATCATAAACGTGTTTAAAATGGATGAATCTGTTGATTTACACACATGGTAGTTTTTAGTCATAGATTAGCAAAAAAGTGGTAGTTTTCGGGACAAAATCGTAAAGTGGTAGTTTTTCGTCACGGTTCCGTGAATTGTGGTAGTTTTTGGTTAAATAGCACAGAGTTGTAACTAATTAGAATAAACTACACCATCATCATCATATTAAAATAGAATAAATCCCCTTTTGGGCACGAAGCAACTACTGCTTGTAACCATGAAATCACATCGGGCCAATCATATAATTGCATGATAGGTATTAATGATCCAGGGATTCATTGAAGAACCAGTAACACGATAGTACTAATGACCAAAAGAGGAACCAGTTATACTATTTTAATTTCTATATATACTGTCATGCTTGTGCAACATTATTCAGAATTACCTTTTTCGAGTAGCTTGAAGATTTCACTTGGGAAGAATATGTAACCAAAGGATCTTCCGGTGTTTAGAGCAGCTACCCCCTTCAGAGTCTTGCTCCTCATGTCAAGAGCAAGCATCCACGACTGTTCGTCCCTGTGGTCAACCTTGGCCATGATGTAAACAACATCATCGTCATGCAAGCTGAGAGCAGGATGCCCTGCGTGGAGTCTACTCAAGATTGGACTCTCAATTGCAGCCTCGACACGAGGAAGCAACCCAGAGTGGCTGTCGTCCACCGCAATTTGTGATGCCTTGAGCTCATGGTTGATCTGCCACTTCTTATGGGGCTCCAGCCATCTTGCTATGGCGGCGCCCCAGTCCTGCGGAGTGTAGGTGACGCCATTGTCTGATCCAGGCACGGGATGAGCCCACACCTCCATGTATCTGATGCAGGCATCCGAGCCGACAGCAACATCCCTATCATAGCCTGCAATTCTCTTCTTCTTGGGCGGCGCCAGCACAGGGAACCGTATGAAACGAAGGACTTGATCATCACCATCTAGCAGATCACAGATAAGGATGCCTTTCGTGGTTGTTTGGATAGAGGAGATTAGCGATGGGATTATAGAAAATGCGTTTTAAGCTGATTTTTAGGAAAGTCGGTTTTATCTACATTTTTATGAATAATCAGTTTATGAAAAACTATGTTTGGCAGGAAAGTAGATAGCCCCGTGACTCGTTAATCTTTGCTCGTCACTTTCCCCAAATTGGCCGCCATTGCTTATCCATTGAAGTACGTATATGCAGCTGCTCCCCTCGAGTTCCTCCTCGGCCCTCTCTGCTTCCTCCTCCTTCCTTTGCTCGCTAACATCGCTGCTCCATCCTTCTCGGCCCTAGATGAATCAGGGCCTAGACGCCGATTGCTGCTCCTCTCTCCTCCATTGAAGGCTTCACCAAGGGGACGCCGTTGAAGTGCGGACGACGGCAACGACTTCCACTCAACGGCTCGCCGTGCGCAACCGCCGCTTCCCCTAGAGACTCAGGAGTTCGCGCTCGGCGGCGACCACTTGCTCTACACAACACGGCACATGCGAACGGCGGCAGCGGCCGCTTCCCCTCGACGACTCAGGCGTTTGCGCACGGCGGCGGCCGCTTTTACTCGACGCCTCGGCGTGCGTGCACGACGGCGGCCGCTTCCCTTCAACGAGTTGCCGCGCGTGAACGACGGCGGCCGCTCCCGCTCGACCAGGCCGACGGTAGAGCGCTTGTGCTCAAAGTCAATCGGCGTGCATGCCGGCCGGTGGCTTTGGATGAGTTTCAGGTGCGGTAAGGCACAAACCGTGCTGATGAATTTGATGCGGAAGGAGAAATCAGTTGCCGTGAGTTTCTACAATCGTGTTTTCATAAAAACAACTATTAGTCGTTTTTCAGAAAACGCATATTACTGGTTTTGTAGAAACTGAATCCTACTTATTCATGTTTTTCGTGCGGAATCCAAACAAGGTTTAAGTTTGTTACACGGTTATGTGAGTCGACGGAAAATCAGTTCTGCTAATACACCGTATCCAAACAAGGCACATGGTCGACCCAGCAGATCGAGGCCGGGAGGGCGAAGGACTTGGTCGGGATGCCAAAGTCACATTCCTGAGGCGACTCGGCATGCATCAGACGAGTGCTCCAGGTCCACGACCCGTGGTTGAACTCCAACAGGTCGATGGCGTAGTGCCCCCGGGCCAAGGTCTTGTGGAGAACGGCGACAAAGAGCCTGTCTTGGCCCGGGCAGCGCAGAAGGCCGATAGAACCGTCGGTGAGCGGGATGACCATGCTGAAGCGGGGGCTCGCGTCGTAGAGGAAGTAGTCGTTCTCTTGGCCGACGGGGACGCGGAGGAGGGCGAGGTTGCCGTGGGTGCGGAGGAGGCGGGGGAGACGGTCGAGCGGGGTGGCAGGTCCTTCCGGGAGGAGGTCGGGGAGGTGGATGGTAAAGTAAGAAAGGAGTGGCGGGCGCGCGGCCCAGAAGTTGAGCTCGAGGATGTGGCCGCTGTGGGTGGCGCACATGCACCGGCTGGTTGAGGCGCCGGTGAGGTCGTCGACGTACACTAGCGTGTCGAGGAGGGCGGACTCCAAGGGTGGGTGTTCGCCGTGGTGCGGAGTATGCGGAGGGAGCCAGCGGATGGGGCGGCATGGGGAAAGATCAGCCTCCATCTCCATGGCAGGGGAGATCTGCTGCGGCGGCCAGCTATGGGAGCGGCACAGCACAGCACAGACGGGCGAGGGGAGAGAGCTCCAGAGAGAGGTTGGGGAGTGGATTAGCCCCGGATGTTTTAAGCCACAAAATCGACGGCGCGTCACGTGTAGCTTTGTTTCCGCCCGCCTGCCTCGGCCCCGTTCCCTTTTTCGATTTGATTTTATTGTTTGGGTGTGTCATATGTCTTCTAAAACTTAACCAAGTCTCACTCAAGTGATATACTTCCTTCGTCTCAAAATTTTTATCTTAGATTTGTCTAAATATAGATGTATGAAGTCATGTTTCGATTTGATTTTATTGTTTTTAACGACTCCTTCGGATATTTTTGTTCAAGGAAATCTTATAAGAGCAATTGCAACCGGAACCTCTGTACCCGCTCCGAACGCCCGGGCAGGTTTGCTCGATCACTAACGGACGAAAAAACACCACCAAACCAAGCTTTTCATAGCAGGCCTAAACGTCCACACTAATCAGGACTCCCCGTACCTGACGCATATCTGAAGCGGGTATGGGGATGCCCAGACGCGCCATGACACGGGCGCCAAGTCAAACCGACTGATAGGGCCCACTCTAGGACACGGAGGAACCACTAGTCCGACAGGCGCCTCCTCTGCTCCACGTCGTATGGCCCGCTTTGGCGTGCCGTCCAAGGGAGCAAGGCCGGCTATTTAAGCAAGACGGCGGCAACCGAAACCTATGCGTCCCATTTCTTCTCTTCGCCGCCACCAGTTTCAATCTGCTGCCCGCTTGCCATGTCGAGGTGCCGATCACCACGTACTTAATGCTGACATTGGAACGCCATTGCGGCTCCTGGAGAAGATCCGGGCCAGGCACACGGCTCGTTTCGGTGTCCGACTGCCTCCGGATTCACCGGAGCGGGAGGAGGGGAAGGAATAGGACGAGGAGCAGTAGGCGGAGATGATTAAGAGACATGTCATGGGCGGCGCTCTCGGTTGGCATGCCACTTCAATGCCGGCTCCAATGATCGGTCGCGTCTTCTCTTAAACAACATGATTGTGATGAGAGGAGCGGATGTGCGGGTCACGCGAGAGAGGATGTGGGAGATGTTTTTTGGTGGGATAGGGATGTCAGAGACGTGCGTAGCGGCAGTCTGGGCGCCCGCAAACGCTACTTTTTAATGATGTGTGACCGCAATACTTGCTGATTTTGTTGAAGAATTCAAGAAAGTGTTCATGGACAATTTTTCTGTCTATAAAACTTCATTTGCAGAGGCGTGAATACACCAATTTAGTGCTAAATCGTAAGAAATCTCATTTTATAGTAAATGAAGGAGTTGTGTTAGGGCATTTCTAACCGATCTCCTAAAAGCTAGTGGAGTAAAAGTTAGAGTAGAATTTTACTCCATTACGGGTGGCCGCACTTAGTCGATCCCCTATAGTTAGCGGAGTAAAATGAATTTTGTGGCCACTTTTCATACTCATCGCACAAACACAATCTCCACACAACACATATCTTAAAATCATTCAAATGAAAGCATGGATAGCAATAATCGTCAAAACATAAAGTTTCATCACTGCGTTTTTCAAATTCAAACATGCAAAGTTCACCCAAAAGACATCACTTCAAACACAATGTTTGATTCAAAATGACCACAAACATATCATGTATATGTTGTAGATCGAGCCAATCTTTGGCATGCACCATCACCCTCTCGGCCACCACCATTCAAACGAGGTCATCGACAAAGAAATCAATGTCGACATGCTCTCGGCCACCATCACCCTCACCACCATGCTCTTGCCCACCATCACCACCACCACCACCACCACCACCGTCACCACCATCACCATCACCCTCACCACCACGCTCTCACCCACCATCACCATGACCGCCACCATCATCACCACCCCCTCGCCACAATCACCATCACCACCCCCTCGACCTGTTGGGGAACGTAGCATGCAATTTCAAAAAAATTCCTACGCTCACGCAAGATCTATGTAGGAGATGCATAGCAACGAGAGGGGGAGAGTGTGTCTACGTATCCTCGTAGACCGAAAGCGGAAGCGTTTGACAACGCGATTGATGTAGTCGAACTTCTTCTAACTCCGACCGATCAAGCACCGAACGTACGACACCTCCGAGTTCTGCACACGTTCAGCTCGATGACATCCCTCGTCCTCTTGATCCAGCAAGATGTCGAGGAAGTAGATGAGTTCCGTCAGTACGACGGCATGATGATGGTGACGGTGATGTGATCCGCGCAGGGTTTCGCCTAAGCACTATGAAGATATGACCGTGGGAGTAAACTATGGAGGGGGGCGCCGCACACGACTAGCAGATGTTGTTGTGTGTTATTAAAACTGGGATGCCACTGACTTTACTACAAAGCGCTCTGCGTCTCACTCAGTTTAAATCGGGCACTGCTCATTTCTAACAAATGACCAGTGAATATATATTTTCCATACCATCATCATAAAAAGGTTCTAACATTTGTTTCTATTACAATACCTTTGTAGGTTATATAAAAAACTGTCGGATTTGGATGTTGCTTTAAAACTGCCGAGTGAAATAGGATTGTTCTTCTTTGTATGTATGTTGCACATGAGGTAATACTCAAATGGTATATTTCTATACATGTTTAATTTTGCAGAGTATCAGAGAGATGGGGATGGATCTTGTCTGACGTTCAAACACAACTCATTTACAAGGTTTCTGGGGCGACGTCGTTGAAAGGGGAAAAACTCACCAAGTTGCATATAGCAAAACGATGTGCAAGCAATGATATCCCACAACAAACCTAAAAGGTTAAATACAATTGTTATCCCACAAGGTTTTTACTTTCGTCGTGATTATCTATCTCTAGCAAATATTTCAAAAGCCCGTGGCAACGCACGGGCATTCTACTAGTGGGTTTAGTGGGTAACTGTATGCATGTATGTGTAAGCGTCAAAGAAAAAAAAAAGCAAGTTCGGCTTCAAATTGGGTTCAAACACAGTAGCGCACAGACACAGGCCGTGTCCACTTGTCACCACCAACAGGCCCACGGATATAGCCCGACCCTCCCCAGCTTTGGAATCCGGCGTCGAGTCGGCACGGGGAAATTCGATCAAAAAACCCTAGCCAGCCGCCTCCGCCCCCTTCCCCGCCCCCTGCCCCGCCAGTGCTCTCGATTGCCGGAGGCATGGCCGGCCCCACTAAGCCGCCTCGTCGAGACCAGCCACCCCCTCCCGACGACGGTGTCCACCAGCGTCGCCAGCCCCCTCCTGGCAGGGGCGGCATCGATCCCGTGGTCGCGCCGGCGACGGCGGCGCAGGGCCGGCCCATAAGCCGGGCAAAAAGGGCGACCGCCCCGGGCCCCAATAGGGAAAGGCCCCAACTGAACTTATACTAGTAAGCACTATATGTCAAAACATAAGTTCACGTCACATACTAATAAGTTGTACCATGCATAGGCAAATCAGTCTGACTGGCGGAGTTGAGTTCAAATACACTAGTCTCTCTTTATCATGGATGTTTTAATATCATAATGAAAATTATGATAACTAGATTTTTAATGTTTAAACAAATGCATAATTTTTAATTCGGTAAACATGTAGGACATTTCATTTGCATCAAATCAAACCATGTGAGTCTGGATGAACATGTTAGTTAATCGAATCATAGGTAGAAGTATAATCAACAACATTTTTAGTTCTTCGATGATTCTATTGTCGAACCCAACTTGCAAGTCACAATTTCTATGCCCTAGAAGTTTCCAGGAATATGACTGCCTAATATACACTAGAAAGAACTATTAAAATATTTGTTAGTGTATATATGATTTAGAAATCTCTACCATAATATTCAATAATATTAAAATATATATGAACACATGCATAGATATTCAAATGTGTATACACTACACTGTTTATGCAATATTCGAAAATAGATCAAAAAATATTTTAACAATAAAGAAAACTTTTGGTACATGATAAAATTTTCATTTTGTAGAATTAAAATTTTCAATGATATACATTACAATTGCATAACAATGAATACTATAACTATTATTTGAAAACAATCTTATGTGGCTAAATAATAGAAAATATATATTAATTACAATTATGATGTGGTACACATTATTTAAAATAATTATAAAAGTTTAGTATAAAAAACAAATATTTTACATCGCCCTGGGCCCAAAAATACTTTGAACCGGCTCTGCGGCGGCGGCGGCGGTGGCAGTGAAGGAGAAGGGGAAGGAGGTGGTGACGGTGACGACGAAGGGGGAGGAGGCGGAGACGAAGACGGAGGAAGATACATTTGGTGAGATGAAGTGCGTTCAAGTGCTAACAAAGCGGATTCGCCGTCACCGCAAGAGGTTGAATGATATCAGAGAGATGAGGGAGAAAGGCAAGCCCCTTAATGACGAGCAACTGGCGGATGAAGCGCATCTCCCTGCAGTAATGCGGGATCTCGAGTATCTTATCAATGGGCTCAAGGACGCCTGCATGCAGGACATCGACTCTGCACTCCATGAGGTTGACCACTCTCAACACTGATTTCCTTGTAATTAACTTGGTGATTTGTATGACATGTGGCTTGGTTTGCTTGAGCTAATCCTGTTAGCTTCACTTGGTGCATGCCTAAAATCGCACAGATGTGAGGATTTCATTATGGGGTTCCATTTTGTAATTGTAAGGAAATTATTACTTTATTTACCAGGTTGTTCTGTGGGAGATTTGATTCTTCAAACTTTTGCTAACATCATGAATCTGTCACTAGACTTCTGTTTTGTACCGTCACTCCACCTGCCTAGTACTACTAGTTTCTTTTAAATATCAGAGTAATATAAGAATTTCTCCTTATCAAATAGAGTAGAATAGTGTTGCCGTGGATGGACTTATTGAACACTTCATATTCGTATTTTCTAGCTACATGATCACACTTGAGAAAGGGTTCAGTAAATGCATAAGTGAGCCCGTAGCTAGAGTTTTGTTTGACAAAATATGTATTAATA